CAGAAAGCCTCTGGATTCCTCGTTACCGGAGGCATTTTGCTCGGGCCGAGCTATAGAAAATGCCCGCACCACAGCCCAGTGGGACAGGCCATGGTTCTAACATCCAAATAATCATTTCACAAATTATCATCATTATCAATCAATCACCCTGTTTGGACAATGCGAGGCTGGGCTATCAGATGACTTTTATGACCTGTAGCTTTTTGTATGTAATAATAATAACCGGGAGAGATTTATGGACCCATCACCGGCCCCTCTTCCAGCGGAATGACTTTATTAGCTCGATTTATTTTTGACCCTCCTCTAAGCCTCTGCACTCCCGCCCCTCGCCCTGGGGGCTGGCTGGGGTGGACGCATTTTTCCGAAGCTTCTGAAGGGTTTTTTTCAGGTCCTCAGGCCTAGCCGTCCCATGCGAATTCACGATGTATTTATTTTTGGGAGGAGGGGGATAAAGAAGCGGAGGGGAAGAGAAAATAAAAATAAGAGAAAAGGTCACTTCCTTTTGTGTGTGTTTTCCCGTTCTGTATTAACACGTCTTTCCTTTTCAAGAGGGGGAAGGAAAACACGATAAAGTGGACAAAGGGAAAGGCTGCCGGGCCATGTTTCCCCTTTCATATCGCCAGAGATTGAATCAAAATTCTTTCAGCTGATAGCATCTCCCGGGTGGACTACACTCTTGTTAACGGATAAATTCAAGCCCTCCAGAAAGTCAAAGAATAAATTTAAGCCTTTTGCCAAATGTCTATCCTATTGGATTTTGATAAGATGGCCATTGAGCCTTAATAATGTCTTCCATCCATTTTCAGCGAGCCCTTAACACGGCTCTTGATTCGTCCCCAAAGCCTCTTCGCCCGGCCTTTTTATTACCGGCTCTGGCGGGCTCTCCAGGGAGCCGCGCGCCCCGAGTGATGGATGGACAACTCGCTAGATTATCTCCCGCAGATGTTTGCTCTCCAGGAGCCCCCGGGCTTTCCCTCTAAGTAAACAGAGACTAAATAGAGAGTCCGCTGGAGGGAACGGTCCCAGAGGTCCCCACACCGCGGCCAGGAAAGGCGCAACGCAGCCCGACCCACAGTCAATGTGACTTTTGGGAAGCGCCGGTGACGCGCGCCCAGGGCGCACCAGAGCGGGCGCGGGGACGGGGCCAAAGCTCTGGGCTGCGCGGGCGCACGAGCTGCGGAGTGAACGAAGGCGCAGAAGCCCGGGTGGGAGACAGAGGGGACACGGGAGGCCAGGGCGAGGCTGAAGGGGCACAGGAGGGATGAAGGAGGACCCTCCTCTGCGGTTGCTGGTGGCTCCGCCCTCCTGGGGGCGGGGGCGGGGCTGACGGGAGGCACCTCTGTAGCTCCCACAGGAGCCCCGCCCCGCGCCACAGTCCTGGGTTCGAATCCCAGGCCTCCATACATCCCCCGACCCGGCCACCCTCGCCTGTACATTCTGAGTAGAGTCATCCTGCATCCGGCCCCTTCGGAAACCTCGCTCTCTGATACTTAAAATTCCTAACCGTGGCTTCCTCACAAAATATCACCTTTTCTGTAGCTCATGTGCCAAGCTGCTGATTGAATTAATTAACTTCGTCACATTTCACTGAGGCAGATAAAGAACAGGAAGTTTAATCCTCTCAGCAGTGGATGAACTGAAGTCAGAGACAGGAGTTGCGCACCCACAGGTCACACAGTGCTCCCCCTCCCCCCCCGCCACACCGTGATGTTCCCCTATGAGGTTTTTTTTTTTTTTTGAGTCGGAGTCTCACGCTGTGCCAGCTGGAGTGCAGTGGCGCGATCTCGGCTCACTGAAGCCCGCTCCGGTTCCGCCATTCTCCTGCCTCAGCTCCTGAGTAGCTGGGACTACAGGCGCCCCACCCGCCCGGCTATTTTTGTTTTTTTTTTTTTTAGTAGAGACGGTTTCCTGTGGTCTCGATCTGCTGACCTTGTGATCGCCCGCCTCGGCCTCCCAAAATGCTGGGATTACAGGCTTGAGCCACCGCGCCCGGCCCTATGAGGTTTTTAATGCTCCCAAGTGCGCCTTTGGGTGACGCAAACTACAAAACCTTGAAACCAGAGTCCTCGTCCTATAAGTAAGGATTGCACTGAATTCATCCTGAAAACAGCACCACAGTGTGCACAGTTACCGTAGCAATCCACACATTGCACCTATACCGATAGCTCTAAGTGGCGCCTCTGTTTGCGGGGTGGGGCCTCTGTCTGGACTGATGCCTCTCGAGGGCTGTCTGTCCTGGTCTTCCTGGCCCCCGAGTCTGAAACCTTTGCCTTTGAATTTTAGCTCACATCTCTCAGTCTCTCAGCCCCAACTCCCCTGGGCCCCCGAGAGTGCCTGGAAATGTAACTGAACGGGTCCAGTCAGAGCCCTGGGGTTAGGGATCTGATTCTCCCACCAGCGTGGCCTTGGCAAACACTCGAATCTCCCAGACCTGACGGTGTTTAGTGTAGAGGCTGAAAAAACTGTGAGTTGATGGCTCAGGCAGTGCTGTGTGGCAGCCTCCCCCTCTGGTGGAGCTGCGCCTAAGGACTTGGGTGAGGACGCCTTCTCCAGGCAGCTCCCAGCCCCTCGGACTGGGCTTGCAGGACAGCGGCAGGGAGGAGCCCTGGGCTGGGGTCAGGGGGCCTGCTTAGACAGGACCGCCCACCAACGCCCTTGATGCTGGCTCTCGTACCCTGCACTGAGCTCCCTGCAGCTGCAGTGGTGTTGTGGGGGGTCTCGTGCATCGGGTCTGCTCTGATTCTGTGGGATGGCGGAAGCTGGAACTCCTCAGCCCAACCCAAGGCTTTCAACCAGCTTTCCAAGGGCCTGCGTCAGAGGGATGCCTGTTGCCCTGGGCACTTGGAAGTCGGCCCCTGGCTGGACAGCACCTCATACCCACCCCGGGAGCTGCTCTCAAGAATGACCTTGGGCCACATTGGGCAAGACCTGATGGCCCCATATATGAGACAAAAAGGCAAACCCCACTGTGGCCCAGAGACACAGAAGGTGGTGCCCACTTCGCCCTCCTTCTGTCCTATTTCACTCTGGTTCAGAAGCAGCCAGCACTTGCCTCCTCCGTGCCCTTTAAATCTAGACTTGACCTTTTAACCTTCTGCCTTGACCCCTGTTCCTAGACCAAGCAATCCCTCCCAGTATAAACTGATCCCCTTCTAACCTCCTGCCAGGCCACCTCCACGACGCATTTAGGAGAGGCGCGGCCAAGGAGGGCGTCTTGAAAACGTCAGAGGGTCCAGGGACGCATGGGGTGGAAAACTCAACACTTTCAGGCTCACTCGAGAGCTTGAGGGATTTGCACTAACTGCAGGTCACTTTTTGCATGAAGTGGAAATATTGCAGTTCTCGGAAATCAGCAGCGCTGCTTACTGTTTCCTGCTCCTCTACGTCCTTTAAGAAAATGTGAAATCATTTAAAGAGGCAGGAAAGAAGAAAGAGGGAAAGTAGAAAAGACCAGCCCTGGAATTTGCTCCATGGCGCAGTCAAACATGGGTGCAGGAAGACCTCAGGCGTCCTGTGGATGGCGGGGACTAAGAACTAACACCTTGTCCTCAGACAGAAGGACCCCAGCAGGCCAGACACAGCCACACGAGTGATGGGGAGGGACATGGGAACCAGTTCGCCCGGTTTCCAGAGGCCCTTCAGTGGGTCACTGCGGGCTCAGAAGAAGTCTCCATTGCCATGGTTTCTCTAAAATCAATGTCTCTGGGGTTGAACCTGGAGAGAAGGGTCAGGTCCCCTGTGCTTAGCTCTGCCCAGATGGTGGGTCCCTGTCCCTCATAGGCAGCTCCACCCAAATGCCTCAGCTGAGAGACTGGGAGTTTGGTGGAACTAGCACAGCGCTTTCCTTTGACTTTGGGAGAAAAAGGGCATATCGATGACTGAAATACTCAGCTCAGGTCGTGGGGTCAGGCCTTCCTAACCACAAGGCCGCCAGTACCCCTCAAGCCCATATTCTGCGTCACGGAAACCAGTTGTAATTCTTACAGAATTGTAACAGCACTCAGTAGGCACTGACTCAGCGCTGGCTCCTCTGTGCCAGCAGCCCCCACGGTGCCCCCTGTCCCCCGCGATGCTGTCTGGGTGGAGATGTGTAAATGTGACTCTCTAAATTTTATCTTGCTTTAAAGCAAAGATGCCAAGCGAGAGACTGTTACTTTAATTTTACTAGAAAACCCAAGCAAATAGGAGATCGGCCACCATGTGTGAGGGTGCCTGTGTCTGTGGACGTCTGTGTGTGCGTGCAGACAATGCATAGCCCCTGGAAGCCGAGTTCTGGCTGCTGAATGGGTTCTAGGTTTTGGAGCTGCTTTCCAGGCCGTTCCTCCTCCTGGCCGTCTAGACTGCAGTGTGCACACCCAGTGACACGTGTGACTGTGTGTGTCTCCCCAGGGCCTGTGTGTTTCTCTGCATATCGTTCTCCCTCTGAATCTGTTAGAGCTAATGTTTGTCCACCAGCCGTTACCCACCACCAGTCAGCAAAGCTGTGGATAATGCCACGTGGACCCTTTATCTTTCGCCTCGTGGTTTGCTTATTTAAAGCCATGCTTCTTTGGAAGCTACGAGTGCAGCAAAAGGCTTTGTTGAATCTGCAGCCAATTTTTCCCCGTATTCTTTTCATGAGAGTATCCAGTGAAGACAGTTAAATAAACACAACCTGCGTTTATTTAATTTTCCTGTCTGCGTGGCCTGAAGCTTTCCCACAGGTACAGGGCTCTCCTCCGCTCTTGGGAGTTAGGAGAGTGGCGGATGGCCCTGTACCTGTGACCCTACGGCGACATTATCCCCACCTCCCCACACAATAAAAAGACGCATCCCTGCTAATGACAGCAAAGCCACTGTCCTGTGCACACGTCAGTCCATGGATAACACATTGCTCAGGGCCCACCAGCAACATTCCGACTGCACGCTTGTTAACTCAGGGACAGCTGGGATGGCGGTCGCCCCGCCAGGAGCTCCGAGAACTCTGGGGAGCCGAGACGGCGCGGGGCGAGCTCTCCTACCTTTTTGATGCAGCCTTCCTGGGGTGACACTTCCGCATCCGTCAGTATTTGCTGCAAAACAATTTTGAGAGGGGTTGTTAGTTTCTGAAAAAACGTCGTTCTCAAGCTACACTGGGTTCTAAATGGTGGGGACAGATCCACTGTCCCCAAAAGTCACAGGGTGGGACCCAGCGGCTTCTCCACAGCAGGAAATGAAGACTCCATTGATCGCAGGTACCCCTTCTTCCAGCAGAGGCTCCCCAATCACCGAGGACCCCAAGCAGCCCCCAGGGACTTCACCTCCCTGGAAACACCACACTCCAGGGATGGAGACACAGTGTGTCGCTCACTCTGGCCCTTTAGTGGTTGGGTGGGGACCCAGGTCAAGGCATCTCAAGGTGAGCCATTCGTATTATTTATGAGAAGCATCTGGGCAGAGCGCACGGACACCCTGGATGCTGAACAGACTCTATTTTTATTTCCTCCGAGTTCCATGGACAAATCACACCGTGTGTATTTAGACATAACTTGGCCTATGTTGTGCTTGGCCCTGGACGGGTGAGGGACAGCAAGGTGCGGTCCCTGCCCTCGGGGGGCTTACAGTCCAGCTCAGGAGGTGGAGGTTGGGGGGAGCTAAACTCTGCCCAGCGGTACCAGGAGACAGAGGCGGGCGGCCAGAGCGAGGGGCAGAGGTTGGCCAGCGCCCTGCAGAAGGACGGCTTGGTGGGTGCTGGAGAGAGAGGGAGCTCATGCCATTTCTCTGCTTCCTCCTTTTTGTCGAATCAGAGGTGTAAGCGTTTTAACTGGCGCTTCACTCCCATCCATATCCCTGGGAGGGGGATGTCCCCTATGGTTTTTGGAGGAAACTTCTCAAAGGAAATCAAGCTAAGGCAGAAAAGCCGCTGCGCCTAGTGTCATGCAGGGGCCCAGGATGGCCACTGAGGACCCCCCAGCAGTTTGCTGTGGGCCTCACAGGAGCTCCCGCCCCCTCACCCACGTGTGACAGAGACTGAGACAGGGAGGCTGGAGTGGGCCAGCAGTCAACTTGTTCTTCCTCCAGGGTTGCTCTAGCTGGAACGTTCTTTGGCTCTGGAGAGCATTTTGCCAGGTGTCTCCTCTTAAAAGCCACCAGGCTGCACTCCAGAGGGGCGGCGTCTCAGTGACCCGTCCCAGAGTGCTGTCTGTGCTAAGCAAACTGACAAACGAGCTCTAGAAATTGGATTTTTCCCTTCTGGACCCAAAGTGGCCGTGCACGGATGAGTATACGGAAACCGCAACATTGTTTCCATAAGAATAGAAGCAAGATTGAAACTGATACTTGAAAAATAAAAGGAGAAATGATGCTCAAGCCAAAGGTTTTCCTTCCCCTCCCCTCAATATTACATGATGACTTTATACATCATAAGGACGGAGCACAGCGTGCCTGCCAAGGCGCAATTGACAAGCTGGCGTTCCCAGCCGCAGCGGGGCCCAGCCTGATCGCCTTCCGGGTCACCCTGTACTAATGTGAATGGCAGTGACGGCTGCTAGATTCAGGCACCTAGATGGGCTGCGTTTGGAAGAGGAGAAAGCCTTAGGAGGGGTGTGACCTGCCCGCGGGGCTGAGGCTGGAGGCAGAGCTTGAGACGTATTGATGACTTGAATACTCAGCTCGGGTCGTGGGGTCAGGCCTTCCTAACCACAAGGCTGCCAGTACCCCTCAAGCCCATATTCTGCGTCATGGAATCCAGTTGTAATTCTGACGGAATTGTAACAGCACTCAGTAGGCATTGACTCAGCGCTGGCTCCTCTGTGCCAGCAGCCCCCACGATGCCCCCCTGGAGGCAGAGCTCAAGGCAGTGCTCATGTGGAATCTGTCCTCGCTCTGGATGCTGGAGGACCGTGTGGCCGTCCCAGGTCTGGTGAAAGGGACGCCCATCCCACTGGTGGCCCTGGAGCTCTTGAGAGTAGAAGGACAGATCCCGCCATAGTGAGCCGCCCCGAGCAGAGAAGCTGTGGATCTCGTTGCCAGTTAAAGGCTGGGCTGAAACCAGAACCAGGGCCTCCGCAGTCCTGCCTGCTTCATGAGGCGCATCGAGGAGTGAGATGCTGGTTGTGTCTCTCTGGCATTTGCAGCCAAGTCACAGGCACCTGCGCAGACACCACCAGCGAGAGGGCCCTGCCCTCCCCACCCTGCCCTGCCAGTGCCTGCTCACAAACCCACACACCTGCCCAGAGCCCACAGGGGCCTGGCGCTGGTCTAGGAGCATTTGGTGGGGGTTGGGCATTTTCCTGGAGGCTCCCTCCTGTTCCCAGTGGGAAAGTGCATGCCACAGCCCTTTCAAGCCATTCCCAACGCAAGTGACACCCCCACCATCATTCCCCGGCCAGGTCAGTCCAGGAGCCCTTGTTAACACCGCATCCTCACATTCAGAGGGGGCTAGAGCCCTCCATCCACCCACCGATGCCACCCTGGGCCTGCTGTGGCCTCAGATGCAAAGCTTTCAGGTGGGGGCTGCCCTCACCCTCCCTCTGTCCACGCTGCTCTCTGTTGGGTGTGCTCCGTTCCTGCTGTGGCCAGCTGCATTTTCACTTGCACTTTTGGTGGCCTGATCTTCCTGCCTCCCTGCCCTCCGAGTGGCCGGGTGGGATGGAACGCCCCCGTAAACCCACCTGTCACGCCATGTGGAGGCCATTTTTGCCTTTCTGGCAGAGTCTGACAGGGTCTGTGCGTGGGCTTGGCCAGCACTCCTGCTCCCTGGAGCTTGTCATCAGGTGGGGACGCAGGGACGGACCTCCAACACTGACCCCAATAGTTGAAGGCGTTGCATGCGACGCACCGACCAGGAGGGCCCGGTCATACGGGGTGGCATCAGGAGGTGGGACCTGGCCAGCCTGGGGTGGTGGTGGGGGCAGGTGCTATAGCTGCTGGGCTCCCGGCTGTCTCTCTGGATCCTCTGAGCGCAAGGCCTGGGCCCCCTTCGGGCCGAGGGTGTGGGCTGCTGAGGACTGTGGTCACAGCGGAGCCCAGTGTGGAGCCACGGAAGAGCCGCACAGATGTCGAGCCCTCCCCAGCTGCCCTGCACCCTCTGAAGAGGAAGCCGGCGCCTGATGGCAACAGAGAAAGAAGCAGCCTCCTGCAGGAGGGGCACTGGGGCCTGAGCCGCGTTCCGGAACTGCCTGCCCCATCTCACAGCCCACCTTGGCAGGTATGAAGACCATTCACTCTGCCTCTTCACTCGCTGCTGAGCTCAGGTGGAAAAACGGCCGGACGCGCTCCCCGGCTTCCTCAGCCCCGGCCCCCTCCCTTGCCTGAGCCGCCGTTCTGCTGAAAACCCTCTTTATTTTGCTAGCTGGGCCCTCAGCACACGCACCGCTGGCCCCTGGATTGCTGGCAATGGCCACCGCGCTCTCCACCTCTCCGCACCCCGGCAGAAGTATTAGGTGTGTTTGATTAAGCGTTTTAGCCAAAAAAGCGAGGTCTGACCCCTGGCATTTAGCTTCTCTCGCGGGTGCCAGTGCCAGGATTTAGCTAAGTGGGGTTGGTCAGAACCTCTTTTTTGATTCTTAAAATAAATACCCTCTGTTCTCCAAAAAGCCAGCAAAGAGGCCACGTACGCAGAGGCGCTTACGGCTCTGGAGTTCTGGCGCGGCCCCAGGGGGGCTCAGCTTGCTGTTCGGTGTCACAAATGGATCCCAGAAGGTTTCTCTCCCGTCAAAAGTATCTGTTATTAAAGTATCTGAGAACCTAACAAAGGAGGAAGTCCAGAGTGAGCCCCGGCCACGGAGCTGCTTCCAAACCGGCGGGAGGTGAACGGAGCCTGGCGCGGCGGAGGCTGAGGCCCATGAGGGCCCCCAACACTCCAGTTAATGCACCCCTTGCTCTTGGCATTGAGAGCAAACCTCCTCTCTCTAACCGACTTCTCTTTTCTTTTTTCTTCTTCTTCTTCTTTTTTTTTTTTTTTTGAAACAGGGTGTCTCGCCCAGGCTGGAGTGCAGGGGTGCAATCATGGCTCACTGCAGCCTCAGCCTCCTGAGCTCAAGCGATCCTCTCAACTCAGCCTCCTGAGCAGCTGGGACAACAGGCACACCACCACCCTGGCTAATTTGTTTTATTTTTTGTAGAGATGGGGTCTCACTCTGTTGCCCAGGCTGGGACTCCTGGACTCCAACAATCCTCCCAAAGTTCTGGGATTATAGATGTGAGCCACCATGCCCAGTCGGCTCTAAACCAACCTACCTTCCTTCCTTCCTTCCTTTTCTTTCTTTCTTCTTTCCTTTCTTCTCTCTCTCTCTCCCCACCCCACACCCGCAGGCTAGAGTGCAGTGGCTCCATCAGTTCACTGCAACCTTGACCTCCTGGGCTCAGGTGATCTTCCCACCTCTGCCTCCCAAGTAGCTGGGATTAGAGGCATGCTCCACCATGTCTGGCTAATTTTTTGTATTTTTTGTAAAGACAGGGTCTCACTGTGTTGCCCAGGCTGATTTCTGACTCCTGGACTCAAGCAATTCTCCTGCCTCGGCCTCCCAAAGTGCTGGAACGACAGGCGTGAGCCACTGTGCCTGGTTCTAACCTACTTTTCTTTCTTGCCCATTTCTGAAGTAGCTTCATTGGACCCAAAGATGTGGGTCTGAGTCTAGAACCTACTAAAAGCTGATTCCAAGGCCTCCTCTCCTTGAAGAAGCCCCTATGGGTGGAGTCGGGGGGTCAGGGTTGTCTGTGCAGGGCACCCAAGGGTGTTCAAATGGCAGGGCTGATGGAGCCCTCCACAACCCCCACATCCCATCTAGGCTGCAAACCTCGCTCTGCTCACTGCTGGGAGGCTGTGGGGTCGAGGGGCTCAGGGTTCTGCAGGAGACACAGCCTGAGCAGAGGTCTTGGTGGCCAGCAGCTTCAGCTTCCCTGCAGCCTACATGTTCAGGAGGGTTTTACAGCCAACTAAACAGTGCCCCTGGCAGGGCTGGAAGCTGATGACCAGGCCACACTGAGCCTCCACATCTCAGGATCATCTCTAACTCTTGGAGAGCCACCCACACACCCTCCTTTTCTGAGAGATGGAGTTTTTAAAGAACAAATCTCATTCTTCATTTTC